CGCAATAGGTTCAGTGCTGGCTTCTATTTTATAAAATCCTTAAAAGATCATCATTTATTACGTTGTTTTTAAGATACTAAATTATTATAACATTTTCTTCCTTAGAAAGCTTGCCCCATTCTACAGCTAATCTCCTGAGGACTGACACTTTCACATTTACTGAGCCACAGCTTTTCTTAAAGTATTTACTCTATTAAATATAAAATAAAATCACCAATTGATACTATAAATTTATAAATTCCTATGATCAGTTAGATAATAAAAAACAGAGGATGCCACATACATAAAAATTCTCACTCTGGTAAGACTGTAATAGTGAAGACAATGTTCAAGTGATGATCCTGATTTTTTCCCACAGGAATAACATAATTCAAATGCTCCTAGATCACATGTCTTCGCTCCCTCTCTCATGAATAATTTGGCTCATCTTTCTCAATGACAAAAATACCAAATCCTGCTGAAGGTCATGCAGCATCTCCAGTATCTGCTCATTCATGTGCAATTCAGCACTGTATTCTTTGCTTCCATATTATTTTACATTTATGATATGCAGTTGTAGATTGTTTCCGTGGTGGTACAATATTCAGTTTATGCAGTGAATAGAAGCACGCAGGCTTCAAAAGCTAGTCAGTAGTGTGGAGTGATTTTTATTGCCCTAAGTTTATTCAGCTGGAGAGATAGAGGCAGAGGAGGTCAGCAAAGGTGATTACAAAAATGAACACTGTTTCACACAGTAGAAACTTGAAATAAATAAGATTATTTGGTGTAGAAATTAAAAGAGTTAAAGTGAGAGGCATCTGAGGATACTGAGGTGTTAGCCAGTTGTTTTGATCCTTTAGGTCTTGGACTCTTCCAGGGTCCAGCCCAATTCATTTGCCATCCGGAACTGCTATTTTAAGACAACAGCTCCTTTATGCTTCAGGAGAGCATTCAGACCCTTCTAGTCGTCTTGATTTCTAGCCTAGAGTTTCATCTCATCAGGGTCCCCTGAAGCAATGCCCTGCCTCCAGTTTTCAGGGACTAAAAGCAAGAGTAGCTTTTGGCATGGCATAAGGAGCCATGGGGCAGGAACATGGGGGCAGGAGGACAGGCACTGAGGGGAGAAAAGAAAAGAAAACAAAATTCTTATCCACAAGAAGGGCTCTCATTGGGCCTCAACTTAAATGTGGAATACTCCCTTAAGCGCAGTTAGCACCTTCTATCCATTCTGGTGTATCCATGCCTTAAAGATGTGTTGTTTCAGACCTTGTGTGCATGGGAAGTCTGCTCCCCTTCACACTAGGGAAGGAGGATTGAATCTAAACTGGAAGCAGCGGGTCTCAAACCTGATATGAGAATTGTATTAAATTAAAACAAGCCCAAGAAAATGGAAACAGCTTGAAAATCCAGTTGGAAGTTTAATATTTTTATTTGTCGCTTCAAGTTGCTGTGTGCTGGATACAGAGGGGCTTTGACCAGCCCTTCTTTCACTTCCTCATATCCTTAAAGAGCTTTGGCAACATCTGAACAACGGCGCCAAGCCCTTTGATCCTGGGTTTTTGTTACTTCATCGTGGAACTTTCCCTTCGGAGCACAAGAGGTGTGGATTTCACCCTCCCCTCTGCTGCCAATGATTTATGCAGACGTATCTAGCCTTGCTTTAGCCTGTCCTGGTGGTTGGGTTTGCTGCGGCACGCATCCCTGAGGAGCCTGCACAGGACAGGCTGCAGCACAGGTACAAACTCCTACACCAACCGTCCACGTCCACGTTACGGAACAGCAGGGCTTCCTCTCACAGGAATGTACCTTAGATAACCCCCATCTCAAAGAGCAATGGAAACACAAAATGCGAAATTTCAGGAGGAATCATACTTTGCCTTTCTGTACGATAATGTTATCATGACCACATGATGTTTTTGTTTCATTTTCTATGAAATCTGTCTATGCCATGGTAAGCATAGACGAGTAGCTAGAGATGAGTGATGAAAATGGATCAGTGCAGAGAAAACCTTCTACCAGACAACAAGAATTCTTCCCCTTCTGAGAGAAACAAAGAGGAAGGGTATAAAGGTATATAGGTATGAAAATAAGGTCTTTTTATAAGCTCATTCCTTATAATACAGGAAGTAATATAAGTTAATTGGTCACTCCTATTCATATGTATATAAAGAACAAAAGAAATGACCAGCAAAACTGGAAAGTTTTTCACAACTGCAAAAGATAAAAGTGCAAAAACAGTGCACAGTGCAAAACTGCACTGTTACATGGTGTATAAATGAAAACGAACAAAAGATCAAAAACTTCATCCCTATCCCTATTTTTGAATTTATTTCCAGTTAYGTCAAAATGTGTTGGGGAGAAACAATAATATAAGCGGTAATGCTTCAGGACACAATTTAGAGTAGGACATCTATAAAAAGAACCAATACACAGAGAGGTCTCTTCCCTACCGGTGTTGTCCTTTTTAAATCACTGGACACTATTTAAAAAATAAAAAGTAAAAAATAAAGAAAATTCCTCTGGAGTTGCCGCCCCGGCGTGGTCTGATTGGAGGCAAGGGCTCCTCTCCTCTCCCCTGACACCTCTCACCAGTTTGGCACATGAGGTGCGGCRGGTAGCTCCTGGGAAGACAAAAGTCCTGGGTCTGCCTTGCAGCCTGCATCAGCTGTAGGACAAGGCCAAGGTGTCCACAGCTTTCCTAAGAAACAGAACTTTCAGTCTTTCAGATGGGAATGAAGTGATTACTGTGACTAATGAAACAACCTTAGATAACGGAAACAGATAAAACAAAAACGCAGCCTTTGTTTCAGCAAACAATTAAATGGGATTAATATAGCACCTTCAGCATGTATATCTTAATAAAGGTACTAATTTCTCCTTAGCATTCATGAAAGGTCTAGTTTTACTGAGGTACAGAAACTTAAATAAGAAAACAGCAGCATCACCATATTGAAAAAAAAAGGCATTTCCTGTGATCCAAATTTTCCTTCCCATTTTACGTGAGAAGTGCCACTGTAATTACTAAGCAGAACGTCATCTCATGTCTCTGTGCTGACTGGCAAGCCAGCTAATATGGCTATTTCAGTCAATAGCATTTGAAAAYTTTCTTTTCTGTTTTGGACCTTTGCTGTTGCCTTGTGTAGTTCTGCAAACAAACAAGCTCCTTCTTTGCCGCTGCACCTAGCGGATGGAGAGGCTGCAATTAAGCAAAACGCACAATTTAATCTGTTGATCTAACAGCAGTTTCCCTGATTACCTTGTTCAAATGCAACTTCCAGCAATACCTAAGTTCTGTTTACTCTAGGTAATTGGCTGCTGTTTTGGTGGGGAGAAGAACCTGCTCACTGCAGCACTAACTGTAAAATGTCAGTATTTATCTACAGCAGACAATACTATTAAACGAAAGAGCAACATGCTCAATGTTACTGGTGAAGCTCTTTCAACTGCATATAGTAATTCAATCCCAGACAAATCAGGCAGGCTTTATAGCTACTCWGGAGCTGCAGGACTCACTCAGAAGAGCTTCAGGCGAGTCCCTGCTCCATTCAGAGCAGAGTGTTCTCTGCACACCCGTGGGGCAAGCACTGTCCAAAAGCTGGAACAGAAAGCAACATCTCCAGAAACCTGCCCACTCGCTTGGCAGACTTGGTGTCTGTCACCACTTGGGTGTCACCACTAGCTTTTCTTATGTACCAAAGACCTGAAATWTAGCCAGCAGGGTGCACGGTGCCTTTGGAGAGTATCTAGATCTGTGGCGTTTGAGGCACAAGTGACCCACCCCTGGGTGGGTATGTCTCATGCTGGATRCAAGGGACAGGCTCTGCCCCCAGGCCAGGCAGCCTGATGCGCTGCAGGGCAGTCCCTCTAGTCACCAGGAGTTCACTGTGGGACAGCAGCCAGACAGGAAGCTCGTTCTAGACACCTCAGCAATCTTTCTCAGGGCTGTTGTAAGTCTGGTGCTAAGCACCATAGGTACTAAGGGGGAGAATGCCAAGGGAAGACGAGAACAACATGAAGGAAGCATCAAATATGATGCAGGACTTGAGGGTGGGCCACTGCCTTTAGCTTTTATGGCCTCTATGTTAAACCCATGTTTCCTAGGCATGAAGCCACAGGAGCTTTCTAATGCTAGGATGTCCACACCACTCTGTTGACTTGCTTGCAGAGCAGCTACAGTGAGAGACAGGAGAAGCACAGGCCACACAAAGACTGGCARTCTCCCGGCACAGAGCATGGAGCAATAACATAGCTGTCAGGGGTAGGCTCACTTCAAGATTGCTCAGTGTTGGAAGAAGGCTAAATCTGCAGCAAAACAGTGAGTGGACATCCAAACTACTATGGCTTTCTCCAGCAATACATGCTTATACTCATTGRAAACACAGTAGAGGTTGAAGGGACAGTAATTTTCAAGGGTCTTAGGAGAAGCTTACCACACCTCCAAATACCAAAATTCAGCACTGTCTCGAGCAGATGTGCTATGCACTCAGGGAGCAACAGAGCACAGTTTGACTTAAAGCTTCTAAGGTGGGGGACTCTGTCCCTGAGCTGCTCTGGGATTGTCTGATGAATAAATGGGTTTCCAAAAGCAAAGGTCATCATTGTTCAAAGGCAACATGTGCCCGTGCTCCGCCTGGGTGCGAGGTGGTGCCCACGCCTTTGGCGTAACACATCCAGCCCCCGGAGCCCGTCTCCCTGCTCAGCATCCGCGCAGACGCTGCTCTCCCTGCTCGTTCTCCTGCGCAGGCTGCAGACCTGCTCGGGCCGCCACCGGCTGGTAACCCCGGCTGTGCCTCCCCCTGCTATAAATAGGAGCCGTAAGCCACGTTTTTCCGGCAGTTTCAGCAAATGCTCTCTGATGTGATCCCTCCCCGCAGGAGCGGGGGAGGTTCAGGTGCTGCCCTGGAAGCAATCGGAGGAGGATATCGAGAGCGGAGCGGAGCRGAGCGTGCCTGCAGGACGGACACAGGCGGCTGCAACACAGACCTCTGCGGCTTGGCCCTGACGCTCGTCTGGAGGTGGCCCCTCATCCCTCCCGATGCCGCAAGGTCAGTGGAAAGCACGGGCAGCGGGGCCGGGGAACGGCGCGAGCGCCCCGAGCAGCGGACRGCGGCTGCTGCACAGTCGGCTCCGGTAGTGACAGCCGCATGGGCAGATTTGCTGCGGGTGAAGGGCAGCTGTTCGTGCTGGGAACCCAGGGCGTTTGGATACCAATCGAGTGAGGCTGGGAGCTCCTGCGGCGGGGCTCGGCAGCCCGCGGTTGCGAGCTGTAMTGCCGCAGGGCTCCAGCCGTGCGCGGGGACAGGGGAGCCCCGGGCCAGCCGCCTGCTGCAGCCCAGCAGCCGCGTCCCGCAGCGCCTTCCCCCGCAGGCACCGCGGCCAAGGGCTTCTCCCGGCCGGCTCTGCCGGGCCAGAGCCGCAGGCTCCGCGCCCCGCGGAGCCCCGCGGGGAACCGGGGCCGCCCCCGGCCCGGCCGCGAGCATGCTCAGTGCCGCCCTGACCTACTTTCCCCCGAGCCGGTACGGCGGCGGGCAGCGCTGCGGCACGGTGCAGCGGCACGGCACGGAGCGGCACGGCACGGAGCGGCACGGCAGAGCACGGCGCGGCGGCGCCCCGTGAGCGCGGACTGCGGCAGCGCCGCGCTCCGCCCGCCCCGGCCCCGGCCATGGTGCTGCGCGGGGCGCGCTGAGAGGCGGGCGGGCGGCGCGGAGCGGAGCGGCGCGGCCGGCGGCAGGTGAGCCCGCAGCGGTGTCCCCGGGGCCTCCGCTTCCTTCCCTGCTGCCCTCCCTCCGTGTTCCCGGCGCTGCCGCGCGGCCGGGCCGCGCCGTGCGGGGCTGCTCGGAGCCCCGTGTCCTCCCGCAGCGGCGGCGGGAGCGCGGGCTCCCCGCGCYGCGCTGAGCCCGGCAGTTCAGGGCACGAGCTCGGGTCTCTCCGGGCAAAAAGCTGCCGAGGCCACAGCTGCCGCAAGGCCCTTGTGTGCCGCGTGCTCCCGAGCCGCGGTGCTGGTTCTGGAAGGGGCACGGGGTGACTGAACAAGTGCGAGCTCAGCAGCGCTATGGGCTCTTGAAGAGAGCTGAAGATGTGCTGCTTTGCATTTAAAATACAGCCAACCTCCCGGTATTCTACTGTAATTACCCTTCCATCTCGCAGGGTAGTCTCATGAGATAGAACTCAATTTCAGAAGCGCCCTGTGGGAACAACTGTCCTAAACTTCTAAACTTCAGAAGGGTCTCGTGCAGCATTACCAAGCATTGCTTCTCAGCAGGGCAAACCTGCGCAGCGCTGGACACACAAGCGTCAAGCACTGGAAAGTTAGCTGACAGTGAAAAGGGGAAAGGAGTCAAAACRGAAAATAATCTAACAGTTTGGTTGTGTGGAGGCCCTGCGTTGGGAGCGGCCCCTCTCTGCACTGCAGCAGGACACAGCAGAGGCTTTTTGGAGTACATGTTGCTTGTGTGGCCGGCACGCACGGCCTGGCGCGGGGTGTGCAGTTAGCAGCAGCTCCACTGATACCGGGGCAATCATCTGGTTAACTGGGAAGCTTCTCATTTAGACCGTAGTGTATCAGCAGCAGTTGGTTTCAAGTGCAACTAATGCCGCTGGAGTGTTCATTGTATGCTGTTGTTTCTCTCTTGGTTTGTTTTCTTGAAGAGTTTAAAGTTACCAGAGGCCTAGCCAAACAGCAGAACATCCCCCAAGGAAAAGCTTTTCCTCCCATTTTAACACAGACATACCAATGTCCTGCACCATATTACCAAATCACCAGAAGACTGTGGTGTGAGATGAAGCACTTCGATACTCCCTGGATTATTTTGTTTGTTTCTGAGCCTGGCTGCTATCTGGCCATGGGGATGTGCTGCAGATGTGTTGCATCTGTATCTGTGCAAACACCTCTAACCTTAATTCCATTTTTAGCTAGTTTTTAAACTCAAAATTMTTGCTAAAACAATTCTAACTAAAACAGCATCACTTTCTGTCTACGCACAGACCCATCTGAGAAACATCATTTCTAAGACAGTGGAATTCCAAGACAGTATTATTATTTTTCAACAGCTAATTAAAATAATTCATAGCAACATTTTAGAGCATCACATCCTCTATCTGGTAGGAAATCTGTGAAGTGCAGCCAAAAATTGTACTTTATTATGTCAGACTAAGAATTCAACGGGAATTCAAACAGACTTAGTTGATTTGATTTAGGTATTTAGTAAAATTTGGTAGCAAGCTCTCTTATTTCAGRGGAGATAACACAGGTAGTGCCTGTTTATCAGAAATAGGGCACCCTGCACTGACTGTAAACAATTTATTCAAGACAGCCCCCACCCATGCAGGAATTGCATTAAGAAGCCTAGGCTTGTAATTTAATTTACAGTCTGCTGCTCAGTTGTATACTACTGAAGATTTTTCCTGATATATTTTAAGTCATGCAGGGATAGGGCATGTTCCCTTACCTGCACCACTCTGTGTAATCCCCAGTCATACGTGTGGACTGAGAGATGTACAGTCACRTCAGCACTGCTGAGTTTTCTCCAGTATGTGGGTGAATCGTTTCTGGAGGGTGGGTTGTATAGTATGGCCTTCACATGGCATGGTCTGCAATTCTAAGCACTCACCTCAGCCGTGATTTCTTCAAAATATCCCTATTTAGATGTTGCATACAAAGTCTAAGTCCGGCCAACCTGTTGAAATTTGCTGCTACTGCAATGAGCTAAAGAACTGTCCTTTTGTGCTCCGGTGCTAAGGGTAGTTAATGATTAGGAAAGGAAAAAAGCTTTACTTACATTGCTTTCAGAAAAGAAAATGGTTACAGATTCCTTTAAATTTTACCCTGACAAGTTTAATCCTGCCCTATTTGCAACATCCACATGTAACCTCCTTGCACTGTATCCTGGAAACCAATCAATGTAGAAGCCAACCATTAAAAACTGGTAATCTTGCAATTCTAGGGGGATATCGAAGAATTAGTCATAATCAAAGTTTTTTTCCTATTTTTTTATTCTCTTTCATGTTCTAATTAAAACAGAAGCAGTTTGCTAGAATACTGTTTTAACAAACACTGCATGCAGTGCATTGAAAATATTCAGTCTTCCAAAGCACATCCAAAATTTAGAATTTAAATGCTAGAGGTGTTCAGCCCTGCAAAGCCCTTCATATGTATGTTTAAAGAAAGCCTATCCTTTAATTTTGTATCTCGTTAAAACTTTCTGCATCTGGATTTTTTATTCTCCATTAGTAAAAAGAAAACAGATGTCTCTAAAGGATGGTTTGCTTTGGCAAATACAGTTCAAAAGAAGAAAAAGTGGAGGGAAGTGACTTGAGCCCCGTGTTCTTGGCAAGGTCCCATAAGACATGCCAAGGCTGTACACGATCTGCTCTAACTGCCGACTTCAGTTATTTAAGCTGTTGGTGGAATAAATCCTACTAAGTGCTGGTATAAATAGAAGGCAAGAGGTGGGTAAAGAAAATTAAAGATACGTAGAACTTATGCCAAGCAGCACAAAGTTGCCTTCAGAAGTGTGGGAGGGACCCTCTGTGCATCTTTTCTGTTCCTTCTTTCTTCAAGCCTTGATCCTCTTGTGTTTCCTGCACCAACAAAGCAGCAGCTCTGCTAAATGTTTGCAGAGGGTGAAGTGTCTCTTAAAACCATACAGATCATTCTGGAATAATAGCTTTGTACACAAAACTGCATCGAGTGGCAGTTGTCCAGCCTCCAAATAAATACAAATGCCTCCAAACAAATACATAAATCCGGATCATCTACATACCAGAAGCGATTACTTGTAAGATTTAAAAAAAAAAAACAGCAAAGACTTCATACCTAATAAACATAAGCTCATTGGCATCAGTGAGATGCCAGTGTCTGTTCACTATTGATAGCACTGTTTCTGCTCTGTGGGCTGGGTACCCCACAACTCAGTAAAATAACACTTTGACCAGAAAACTTGTCTTAATTTAAAACTGCAAGCCTCTCCACTAAATATGAAACGTGGTCTTATTTTTACTCCAGATACCTCCAAGGAAGAACACTTACATTGCTCAGTCCACATAAAAATACACATATGAACTACAAATTATTTAATGACAAATGAATCATCTGAGTTGCCTAAGATTTTTTTAAAGTGTATGTCACAAAAAAAGTTGGTTTGATACAGCAGAGATGCTGGAATTACAGGGGCTGTAACGTCAAAAAGGGAGCTTTTCAGAGGTTTGGCATTCTTGAGGAGCTTTAAAATAATCTCTCCAGATGATTTCTAAACAGCATACACTTCATCTAGTCATTTTTAGGTCAGTGTATTAGAATTGGAGCAAGTGGGATATTTACCAGACAACTGAAAGACATGGTTGAATCAATAGGGCAGTTAAAGTATTTAAAGTGAACAGGTTTTAAAGCCTGGGATTTCATGTACATGCCTGTTTTCCAAAACTGAAGGCCAAGCTGAAGTAGGATAAAGAGTTACAGAATTTAAGAGAAATTCGCAATAAAATATTTATTTGCAATTAGGCTTCTAAAATATTTACACACTTGTAAAGGCCACATGAGGAATTCTTTCATTTTTATCATTGCTAAACAGTCTGATGTGCTTTTTTTTCTTTAAGAGTCTTGGTATAGCATTCATTTTTGAACACACACGTAACTTGTGGAATTCATGTTATCTTGCYAAGATAACAAAATTTTACAGATATAACTTGATATTGTACCCCCGTGGGTTTGGATCTTTCTGGGACAAATAGCTTTAGAAGAGGGTACTCATTATTAGCTTTACTCTGCTTCTGCTATTAATGGTAGAATAAGCTTCAGCCCATGTTTTTTCCATTTTCTTTCTTTTGTTATTTACCACATATCACCCCCCAAAAAACCCTAAACTGTCCCACGTTTCTGTAATAGCTTTCCTATGTGTAAAGGTACATAAAATTAATGCATAGGCTTCCTAGGCTATGAGTAATAAGCTTATTACTTTTTGCTTTAGGCAGGCATCCTAGTGAAGGACTCTGAGCTGCCACACTGACAGCCATCCTTGTCCACTGTCAAGAGCCATACATCAGAGGA